GAGGCCATCAACTTGGTTTATAATTGCTACTTTTCTGACAACTCATTCGACTTAAGACTTGAGTTCAAGCCATATAACATTGTCATATATTTCTCTTCGCGTTTATTTTCATACCGGTGTGCCTATAAATATTTGTATCTTGTTTCTTACAGTTGCGAGCATCTTTCAGACCCTCTGCTATTAGTACAACAGGTAAGGACCATTTACCTGTCTAAATCAAATGGCTTGGTATAGACTGTTCTGTAACTCTTGACAGTAATTAATAGAGAAAATAACAGATCAATCCACAGACTTGGTTGAGAATGAAAGGACAGCAGGGCTCATTTAATGGGTGATCATTTATTATAGGGAAACGGAGAGAATAGGTAAGTAGCACTGAATGCTTATTTTCAACCAACAACGGCTCGCAGACGTTACCTGCTCACTAAAACGTTCGATAGAGCCACCGAGATATATCAAATAAGCATAACAAATATAATCTTACTTATTTTCTTTTGTTTTAAAAAGAACTTTTATTTTCCTGCTCACTTCCACCTTGCTCCTGGAGTTATAGTCTTCACATTCATCAGGTGTGCTGACACTAACAGGATGTGAACACAGTTACATTCCAACAAGGATCATTGATTTGCAGCTCGGAGATATTACCATTCACAGAACCGGAATAGAGCGACAGTCGCAATGCGTCCTCTACAACCTATGCTCTTTAGCATCTTGGAGACGTTTCACTCTGTGGCAGCACACTTCAATTTGAACCTCATTGGTTACCAGAATGCAGATCTGCGACACAAGGCATTTGATTTGGCATTTCTTATCTACAAAACCATTCTAATCAAAATAAGTTGACTTCAGACGAATATTTGGCCTTACTTATTTGATTGCCGGGCTTTCTCATAATCTTCAGTGACGAGATCGCAAGATAATTTTATTACGGGAATGATGCAAGTTATGAATACCTTTTCAGTTTCTGCTTTGCCTTTCAACTCAATGACTAGTTCCCGAAATTTCTAAATAGTTTACATTTAGTTGGTTCTCATTTGGAAATTGATACTATAATGTGTTTAAAATGAATTCATGGAAGATTTTAGCATAATTGCATTTCAGGGTCATTTAATTTTCAAGAAAAGCCTTGACGTTTGAAGCAAAATGCACTTTACAGTCATGTTACCAATAGAATCTGACACTGAGTCACAAAAGGAGATTTTAGGACAGTTTTATCAAAGAGATAGGTTTCAATGTTTATTTGAAGGAGTAAGAGGGAGGTTGGGGGAGAGGTTTAGGGAGAGAATTCTAGAATCCATAGTCTGGGCAGCTGAATGTATGGCTGCCAGTGATTCGACAATAGAAATAGGAATTGTGTGCATGGCCAGATTTGTATGATTGCAATAATCCTCCATGGATTGTAGGACTGATTGTGTCACAGAGATGGGAAGAGGTAAGGTCTTAGAAGGATTTCAAAGCGTTCATGAGAATTTTAGAATTGAGCTGCTGCTAGTTTACCAGAGTACTGGGGAGATCAGTAAATGGAACTTGGTGTAAATTACTGTATGGCAATAGCATTTGGATGGCTTTCAGTTCTTAGAGGGTGAAATATGGCAAGTGTGGAGGCGATGGTGTTTCTATGCACCTGTTGCCTTTGCCTTTCTAAGTGGTCAGGGTCTCAGGTTTGGGTGGTGAAGCAGATTTGATGAGTAGCTACCAATCCTATAAATCCTTTATGGTCAAACTGCAACCTTGGTGGGTAAATGGTGGAGATACTAAATGATCATTGTGGTGGATAGAATAACAATCCCGTGTGCTGTTTTGTTGTGCTTGCTGTTGAGCTTTAGAGTGCTTTGGAGTTGCCTTCATCCAGAGAAGTGAAGAGTATTTCATCATACTTCTGATTTGTCATTTGTTGAAAGTGAATACATTCTAGGAAGTCAGGGGTTACTTACTGCAGAATTTCTACCTTTGACCTGCTGTTATTACCACAATATTTAGTTGGCCAGGTCCAGTTCAATTTCTGTTCAATGCTGACCTGCAAATTGTTGATGATGGGAACCTGGGACGGTATTCTTGTTGAGCGCCAATTGAAGATGGTTAAACACTCTCTTGCTGGACGTAGTTGTTACCTGGCACTGGTATTGCCTTTTTATTTATTCATGGGATATAGGTATCACTGACTACATCGGTGTTTATTGACCAGCCAAATGGCCTTTGAAAAGATGAGCTGCCTTCTTGAATTGCTGTAGTCCATGTGCTGTGGGTGGATCTACAGTGCCGTTTAGGAGGGAGTTCCAACATTTTGACCCAGTGACTATGACAGGAATGGTGAAATAGTTCCACATCAGGTTTGTGCATGGCTTGAAAGGGGAACTTGAAGATAGTCATGTTCCCATCTATCTGATGCTCTTGTCTTTCCAGGTCAGAGACTTCATAGATTTGGAAGGTGCTGTGTAAGGAACCTTGGAAAGTTGTAATTATCTTGTAGATGCAACTGTATATCAGTGGTTTAGTGGGTGAATGTTGAATGTCTTAGTTGGGGAACAAATCAAGTGGATTGCTTTGTTTGGATGATATTGAGTTTCTTAAGTGTTGTTGAAGCTGCACTCATCCTGGCAAGTAAGGGGTATTCCATCATAGTCAAACTTGTACCTTGTACATACTGAACAGCAGAAACAGGAGATGAGTTACTTTATATAGAACCCTTAGCCTCTGAGCTGCTGTTGTAGCTGCAGTATTTATTTAGCTGCTTCAGATCAGTTTCTGGTCAATGGCAACCCCTTGGTCATTGATTATGGAGGATTTGGTGACATTAGTGATATTGAATATCAAAGGACAATGGTTAAATTATCTCTTGTTGGAGATGATCATTCCCTCGCACTTCTATGACTTAAATGCTACTTCTGATTTACCACCCAAGCCTGGATGTTGTCTATGCCATGCTATATTTGGACCCAACCTGCTTCAATATCTGAGGAGTCACAGGTGGTGCTAAGAAAATGCACAAAAATTAGCAAAATTCTCAACTCTGACATTAAGATGGAGAGAAGGTCATTGATGAAACAGTTGAAGCAGTTGGGCCCACAACACTACCCTGAGGAAGTCATTCAGAGTTGTCCCATGCCTGATATAATTGACTTGTAGCAACCACAACCAATCCCCTTTGTGCCACACATGACTCCAATCCATGGACAGTTTTCAACCTGATTCCCATTGACTTCAGATTCACTAGGGCTCTTCTCAATTTTCTCAAATGCTGCCGTGAAGTTAAGAACAGATACCTGCTTGTCCTCTCTTTTTGTGTATGTTTGGACTCAGACTAGAATGAGATCAGGAGTTGAGTTGGCCTGGCAGAATCCAAGCTGAGAATTGATAAACAAGTTATTATTGATCAAGTGACATTTGTAAGACATTGACAATGCCTTATATAAGTTTGTAAGAGTGGACTTATTGTACACTAATTGATCAAGTTGGATTTGTCTTGCTTTTCATGTACAAAACATATTTGGGTAATTTTCCACATTTTCTGGTACATGCCAGTGATTTAGCTGGACTAGAAAGCTTAGCTAGGGGTGCAGCAAATTCTGGAGCACAAGTTTTCCCAAAATGTTGTTGGGCCCATTGCCTTTGCAGATGCCTTTACTGTTTCTTGTTATCATATGAAATGAATTGAATTGGCTGAAGTCTCACATCTGTGATTCTTGGGACTCAGGAGGAGGTCATGATGGACCATCTACTCAGCACTCCTGACAGAAGATGCTTACAAATGTTTCAGTCTTGTCTTTTGCAGTAACATGCTGGGCTCCCCTATCCTTGAAGATGGGATATTTGTGGAGCCTTCTCCTCCAGAGTGTTGTTTAATTGTCTATAGCCATTCATGACTAGTTGTGGCAGGACTGCAGAGATCTGATCCACTGAGTCATTAGATATATTGTATGCTGCTTTTGCTGGTTGGCAGGCAAGTAGTCCTGTGTTGTAACTTCACCAGGTTGGGACCTCATACTTATGCATGCCTGACGCTGCTCCCGGCAAGCCCTCTTTGTTGTACCAGGTTTGCCCCCCCCCCCCAAACTCGGCTTGATGGTGATGTTAGAATGATGGATATCCTGGGCCATGAGCTTACGTATTTTGGTTGAATACAATTAGTTAAAATATTTGTGACATAGGTAGAAGCCATTTCAATATTGTGGCAAGGGGAGAAACCTGGCTAGAATTTCCAGGAAGATTGGTATAGATTTGAGGAGGCAAAACATGTTCAAGGACTTTGAAGAAGGATGAAGGGTTGTAGATTGGTGAATTATATTATTTGTTGGTTTGAAATAGTATATCGAGAATTGAATTATTGTATTCAAAGTCTAAGATGTGCGTGTTTGGACATATTTAGAAGATTGCAGTTTGACTGAACAAGTTTTTTGAGATGATGGTAAGTAGAAATTGTTTCCTATAGATTCCTTAATTTTGGAATAAAATTGGATGATAACATGGGAAGTGATAACTAAATGAATGGAAATAGAAACAGAAATTGCTGGAGAAAATCAACAGATCTGGCAGCATCTACAGAAAGAGAAAGACAGCTAAAGTTTCGAGTCTACTAACCCTTCTTCAGAACTGATAGTAGATAGGAAAAAGCTGTATTTATGCTGATAACAGGGAGTGAGCGAGCCCAGAGAGAGACAGAGAGAACGTTAGGCAAAAGATGGTTAATAGGATGCCAGTGGAAGTGGAAATAGACATCATCATATTCTATATCTCGGGTAGATTTATCAGGCTACATCTATAATGTAATGTCAGGTAGGGATTACAATAAAAGTAAAGGACGGGACGCCAAAACTCTTCCCGCTCATGTTAGTTTACCGTGGTTAACAGTATCTACCTTGACTTACACCTTGGTTAAAGTAAAAGCTTGGGCCTGTTGGTTTCCACTTTAAAAGATCTGAAGACCGTCACAGTCTTTAGACCGATGCAAATGTTCGCCATTAAATGCATTGATTTATTTTTTTTTACAGTAAAACCGCAAAATGAGTTCCGACGCGGAAATGGAGGTTTTTGGTGCGGCTGCTCACTATCTCCGCAAAACGGAGAAAGAGCGGATTGAAGCACAGAATAAACCATTCGACGCGAAAACAGCTTGTTATATCTATGACCCTGTTGATTTGTATGTACCAAGTACAATCAAGAGCAGGGAAGGTGGCAAAGTCACAGTGGAAACTATTAATAAAAAGGTGCGTGAACATCTAATGAAAGGGGAATCTTTGCTAAGAAATCTACAAGGTGGCCTGGGTGTGTGGTGTTTTCCTTTGATTCTAGTTTTTATATAATAAATTTATTCTAAAATAATACATTTGCCATTGTCAATAAATATTTATGACAGCGTCCCCTCAGTACAATCAACTATCCTAATCATGCGCTCACTTTTGTAGACAGTTACTGTCAAAGAAGATCAAGTCTTCGCAATGAACCCTCCAAAATTCGATAAAATCGAGGATATGGCCATGTTGACCCATTTGAATGAAGCGTCCGTGTTGTTTAACCTCAAAGATCGTTACTCAGCATGGATGATCTATGTAAGTAAAGTCGAAATCTATGCCGAAGTTCTATTTTAATGCGATCACAAAAATCAACACATGCATTTTGTTTTCCAGACCTACTCTGGGTTATTCTGTGTCACGGTGAACCCCTACAAATGGTTGCCAGTGTATGATCCTGCAGTTGTAACGGCTTACAGAGGCAAAAAGCGACAGGAAGCCCCTCCTCACATCTTCTCCATCTCTGACAATGCCTATCAGTTCATGTTGACTGGTAATAATCCATTCTCTTTGTGAACTTCGTGGTGCTTATTCTCTGCAGATATTAAATGTGTGCACTTTGCTATTTAGAAGTTTAGTCTTTCACTTGCGCTTTCAATAACTTGTCTTCAATGCAATGTGATTTGTATTTCACAGATCGTGAGAACCAGTCCATTCTGATTACGTAAGAACCAATACTTTTAATATCAATTAACTACCACTTGAAGCATAATTTTAATATTTATGGAATATTTTTGGCTTATATGTAATTTTATTGCTCATCCCTTTCACTGCAGCGGAGAATCCGGTGCAGGGAAGACTGTGAACACGAAACGTGTCATTCAGTACTTTGCGTCTATTGCAGCCAGTGGCGATCTCCACAAGAAAAAGGATTCTAAGATGCACGTAAATAATAAATTAAATCTTAATTTGTATACATGTGTCTTTGTTGGAATCAAAATAATCCAATCGATAAGTATGTTAGTTGATCTGTACCTCAATTCCATTGAGTTTGTTGCATAGAAACGTAGAAATTAGATGCAAGATTAGGCTATTTTGCCCTTTGCATCTGTGCCACCTTTAATTATGATCATGGCTTATTATCCAATTTAGTACCCTGTTCCCACTTTTTCCTCATACCCTGTGATCCCTTTAAAACTGTATCTAACTCCTTCCTGAAGACATTCAATGTTTTGGCCTCAAAGGCTTTATGCAGCAGAGTATTCTTTTCTGGTATGTGACCATCACTGGCAAGACCCATATTTATTAACCTTACCTAACTTACCTTCAAACAAGTGACTCATTCAACCATTTCAGACATCAGTTTAAGAGTTAACCACATTGCTTTGGAATGTGGAGTCGCATGATAGTTAGGGATAAAAAAAATAAAAACAAAGTTGCTGGAAAAAGCTCAGCAGGTCTGGCAGCATCTGTGAAGGCGAAAACAGAGTTAATGTTTCGAATCTGGTGACCTTTCCTCAGAACGGATAGTTAGGGATGGTTGATTTCCTTTCCTAAAACACATTACTGAATTAGATGGGGTTTTACTACAGTCCATCAGAGTGATCAAGGTCTCCATTACTGAGATAAGCTTTCAATTCCCAATCTTATTAACTGAAATTAGACTTCACCCACTATTGTGATGGAATTTGGACTCAAAACCCATGAGAATGGGCCTACCCTTCTGCATTACTAACTCAGTGATATTGCCACTATACCATCACTCTTCCATTTAGCTACCTTTCATCAATATTTCTTGATAGTTTAATCAAACAAAAGTACAGACATCTTTCTTGAAAGAATTAATTTACTCACATCCACAGCATGCTGAAAAGAAAGTTCTAGACTTCTATGGCGCTTCCTGAGATTAGCCACATCAATGAATTCACATTTTATGCAGTTGAGTTCTAACTTTAAGGTTGTGTCCTGTTGTTCTGGATTCTCCCACCAGATAAAACAGTTTATCTGGACACATTCCTCTATAAGGTCCCTTTAGAATTGAACCACTCCTTAAACTTTTAACTCTGAATCTTTCATATTCACTGTATTCACTTTTTGTTAGCTGCTGTCTTTATAATTGATAAAATGCTAGCTCATATAACTTGCCAAAATTTTAGGGAACCCTGGAGGATCAAATCATCCAAGCAAATCCACTGCTTGAAGCTTTTGGTAATGCCAAGACAATGAGAAACGACAATTCATCTCGCTTTGTAAGTATCGTGAAATTTTATTGCCATAATAATTGTAAAATATAATTGGGTGGAACTTTACAGTGATAGCAGAAGTCCTACTGCTGGGGTCAAAAGCAGGTGGCAGTCATGCATCGGCTGGCAATGGGACTCAGGGAGGCATATTCCCAACAAAAGCCACTACCAGGGCCACAAATAAATTAATGATGGTTAACTGTCCCTTCCCAAGAGCAACCTGGCCAATCAGAGGGTTGGCAATTGAGCAGCCTCAGCAACCTCACTGCCAGTGGTGGCCATAGCTGAAGCTACGGCTTTAGGGAAATGGTGCCTCAATGGCTGGACACCCTCAAAAAGGAGGTAAGTGGTACTGAGTCTTGCTGGGGTTAGAACAGAAGATGGTTGAGTTGGGGCAGGTTGCAGTAACTGATGGCATGAGCTAGGGGCAGATTGCAGTGTCATGTTGACAGCCAATGCCATTGATTAGCTCCTGCATGTACCATGGCATGGCCTTTAATGACGGCCTCTTTGGAGGCTGCCATGTGTCACCCAGTACCATTCCCAAGTGGCAGAGGGCCATCTCAACAGCGGCAATATGTTCACAGAGACAGAAAGTGATCTTTAATTAACCACTTAAGTGGTTTGATCAGTGTCCTTAGAGGTGGTGGATCTGCCAATGTTTCTGTTGCTGGAAAAATGTCAGGGTGGTGGAAAGATATTGCCAGCCTTCCTGCTTGTCAACCCAATACAAAGTGGCTGGTCAAATTCCATCCATTGTCTGTGAATACTGTAACATTTCAAGCAACACAGTCTTCAAACAAACCTTGGCATTAATTGGAAACTGTTAGGAAATTAAATTCAAAAGATAGCTTGAAGACTAACAGGACTGTTTTCTCCAAAAACCAAGGGTAAATTCATCAGAATTCATTTTGGAGCTACAGGGAAATTGGCTTCTGCTGATATTGAGACCTGTAAGTATCATTATATTTAGTTTATTTGTGATCTGTGGAATTTAACTTTTTTTCCCAAAAGTTACAGCTACATCAACTCAATCATATTATGCCCAACAGATCTGCTAGAAAAATCTCGTGTAGTCTTCCAGTTGAAAGCTGAAAGAAGCTACCATATTTTCTACCAGATCACATCGAATAAGAAGCCAGAACTAATTGGTAAGTCACAATGGAATTTCCATTATACTTAAATTAATGATTTGATGCTGATATATGAACTAATGTAAGATATGAAGACATTTCAAGAAATTGCTGAATATTGTGATAAACATATCTGAAATAGTTTACCTAAAGTATTTGTAACTAATTTGTAAATTCATTGAATCTTTCCATTTCAGAAATGTTGCTCATCACCACCAACCCATATGACTTTCCATTTGTCAGTCAGGGAGAGATAACTGTACCAAGTATTGATGACCAAGATGAATTAATGGCTACTGATGTAAGTTAACACATTCAGACAATAATTGAACAACTGATGCACATGTTTCTGCAGCAGTGATGATATTCTTTCTTTGATTCTGTAGGAAGCCATTGACATCCTGGGTTTCACCTCTGAGGAAAAAGCATGTATCTACAAACTCACTGGTGCAGTAATGCACTATGGTAACCTTAAGTTCAAGCAGAAGCCAAGAGAGGAACAAGCTGAACCTGATGGCACTGAAGGTAAAATATTGACATGTTATTTAAAAAATCTTCTGTACAAAGTAATATTTATACTTCCTTTTCACAAACCCCACTTCACCTTTTTCTGATCTAGTTATCTATCAAGACTTCCATTTTTATATTGTTGAATCAACATTTCCTATTTAATTTTGCTATGTCAACTGTCACATTGTATCTGCAGACTCTGGCCACTGTCTGACACTGTAGAGCAAGGTGCCAATGCATCCACCCCAACTCCAGAGATTTTCCTGATCAATCTATTTAGAAATGTTCTTACACATCTTTGGAGCAGGTGGGAGTTGAACCTAGACCTCCTGGTTCAGAGGCAGGTGCACTACCGCCACAATGGCCCAAAATTTAAATTCTGCCAATTGTTGCAGTGAGATTTGAAATTAAGGTCCCCAACATATTAGTCCAAACGTGACGATTAAGAGTCACTGAAATTCCCACTGTACCACCCATACCTTCATAACCAAAGCCTGCTTAAATGCAATACTACTGATGACTTCATTACGGAAATAATCAAATGAATGATAAATTGTGAATGATGATTTTTCATTTTATTTTTATCAGTATTAGAAAGTTGTCCATAACTCTCTAAACCCTTAATAAAATTGTTATTAAGTCTTTTCTCAGAGGTGATGTCAGGAAACACTTCTTACAAATAGTAATGGAGAACTGGAAAGTACTTGCCCCAGATAGTTTTTTTTTGCACAATGTCAGTTGAGAATTTAAAAACTGAGCTTGATGGATACTTACTTGAGAAAATGACGTGCTCTTATATAATACTTTTCATGACGCTAACATGACCCAAAGTACAGAAGTGAAGTGCTTAATGAAGTGTTGTAGGAATTGTGACAGTCATTTTTCTTATTGCAAGGTTCCAAAAAGACCAATGTAATAATGATCATATGAGCTGTTTTTGTGATATCATTGCCAAATCAATATGTTCGTAATCACAAATGCACAGAGGGCTCTCATGGCCTTTAGATTCAAGTGGAGTAAAGTACAGCATAACTTTGAGCTTACTCATTGTATTTTTCAATCTGAACTGACCTGTGTTAAATCTTTGCAGTGCATTGGAGCTATAAATCGATTATTCACTGATTCCTAATGTATTTTGTGTCTTTTAACAGTTGCTGACAAGGCTGCTTACCTAATGGGCTTGAATTCTGCAGAATTGTTAAAATCTTTGTGCTTTCCAAGAGTAAAGGTTGGAAATGAGTATGTTACCAAAGGGCAAACGGTACAACAGGTATTATATGTAACTGTATTATTTTGATATGATATTGTATTTTTGCAGTGCTATGACAAACATTCCTGAAGTGTTCTTCATCCAGCTATGATTTCGAATTCTTACATATTTTATGTTGGGTTGTTTCAAGGTTCACTATGCAGTTAGTGCACTGGCAAAAGCTGTGTACGATAAGATGTTTTTGTGGATGGTTTCACGGATCAATCAGCAATTAGAAACAAGACAACCCAGACAATATTTCATAGGTGTGCTGGATATTGCAGGTTTTGAAATCTTTGAAGTGAGTAAGAACAAAATTATTTTCTGACTAAGCACATTCTTTTTTCTGTTGAGCTTGCATGTTTTCATTATCAGTTTTCATGATTTCAGTTCAACAGCCTAGAACAGTTATGTATCAACTTCACTAATGAGAAGCTGCAGCAGTTCTTCAACCATCACATGTTTGTTCTGGAACAAGAAGAGTACAAGAAGGAAGGAATTGAATGGGAATTCATTGACTTTGGTATGGATCTGGCTGCTTGCATTGAGCTCATTGAAAAGGTAAGGAAACAAAAGACAATTAGATAGACTGAAAGAAAAAAACTTGAATGTTATAAAACTAAATTACACAAAGAATTCTCACAGTTTAAGAAAAATTATTATTGCATTTAAGCCAATGGGAATCTTCTCAATCCTGGAAGAGGAGTGCATGTTCCCCAAGGCCTCTGACACTTCTTTCAAGAATAAACTATATGATCAGCATCTTGGAAAGTCAAACAACTTCCAGAAACCAAAGCTTACCAAAGGGAAGACTGAAGCTCACTTCTCATTGATCCACTATGCTGGCACCGTGGACTACAATGTCAATGGCTGGTTGGAAAAGAACAAGGACCCTCTGAATGAAACTGTTGTTGGTCTGTATCAGAAATCTTCAGTGAAGCTTCTAGCAACACTCTTCGCTGCCTATACTGGTGAAGGTAAAATAATTTAATTTAATAATAGCTATTCATTCATTGTCTTACTGACTGAAGAAACACCACTGACCGTTATCTCTTTTAAATTTTGTTTATGACAGATTCTGCTGCGCCTAAGAAAAGTGTTAAGAAGAGGGGCTCTTCTTTCCAAACTGTGTCTGCACTATTTAGGGTATACCTTCAACTTAATGTTTCCACAATTAGTAATATTCATCAACATCATGAACAAATTAGAAGTCACGCATTAGATAACAGATTTGGAGAGTAATCAATGGGCTAATAAGAGGGATGAGCTCAAAGTAATATCAGCAGAGAAAAAAATCAAGAAAGATAATGCGACTAAAAGCCAAAGAAACTTTGGGATCTGATGGGCTACATTATAGAATTTCAAAAGGCTGTAGAGATGGTGGTGCACTGTTATATTTTCCCAATATTCCTTAGTTGCTAGAAATGTTGCTAGATGTAACATTGCTATTCCCAAAAGGATGGAGACAGATAAATAAAATCTACAAGCCAATTAGCCTGACAGTAGTCATTGGAAAAAAAAACACTAGAATTTATCAAAAAGGAAGTCTCAGCAATTCATGAAGGAAACTATAGTGTGATGAGACTAGCCCAATATGATTGTGCTGAAGAAAAATCATACCTGTCAAATTCATTAGAATTTTTTGAGGATATAATGAAAAAGGTGAACATGGATTGGTGAAACATGAAAGGTGAAATGTATAAGGTGAACATATGGTATTAATGGATTTCCAAAAGGCAGTTGATAAGATATGACAAGGAGTGAATATGAAAGATGAAGACTCATGAATTAGGAGTAATATGGATATAGGATTGGTTAAAGGGCAGGAAGCAGAGAGTATGGATAGATGAGACATTTTCAAGTTGTTAGGCTTTGGCTGGTAGACTGACACAAGGATCAATGTTGGGGCCTCAACTATTTATAATTGGTATGGATGGATTCGATGAGGAGCCTGAGTTTATTGATGATACGAAGCTACCTAGGAATATAAGGCATGATGAGTGTAGAATAATGGAGTTAACATCAGAAGCATACATGATGATGAAATAATGATAACAGATTCACATGTGTTCATAGGAATTTGGAATGGAACAGAAATTTGAACCTTGTGTGAAGATCCCATGTATGTATACGTTTAGCTTTAACTAAGGAGTCCTTGCATAAAAGACCACAAACTCAAGCAGCGTGCTTTTGAGAGACTAAATAGCTCCAAACTTGACTACATAACAAAGCAATGAAGGCTCAATGAGAATACAAAAATATATAGGCATTTTAATTGAATATGCAGTAACTTGTCAGATAAAAAACATGCAGGTACATTGGGCAATTAGGAGGACAATTGGCACAATGGCCTTTATTGCTGAGAAATTTATGTACACGAATATGGAAAGTCTTGCCACAATTGTACAGGCCTCTAATGAGACTACACCTGGAGTACCGTACTCAACTTTGGTCTCCATATCAAAAGAAGGACATAGTTGTTTTGCAGGCAGCATACTGAAAGTTCACCAGACTGTGTCCTTGATGAAAGGTTTGTCCCATGTTGAGAAACTAGGCTTATAGTTGTTGGAGTTGAGGGAACGAAGAATTGATCTGATTGAAACATACATGATTCTAAAGAGGCTTGACAGGATAGACACTGAAAGGCTGTTTCCCCTTGACTGACAATCTTAACATGTAGGGGCACAGCCTTAGGATAAGGGATTAATCATTTTTCACTGAGGCAAGGAGTGATTTCTTGACTCAGAGGGTTGTGAATCTTAGGAATTCTGTACTCCAGAAGGTTGTGGATACTGCATCATTGAGTGTAATCAAGGCTGAGGTAACTCGATATTTACTGTCACAGGAATTAGAGGATGTAGGGTGTGAGTAGGAAAATTGAGTTGAGGTGGATCAACCTGTTTATACTCAATAGATGAGAAGGTAATTAATACAGAAATACATTCAATTTTTTTCTGTTTATTTGTGATAACACTATTTCTCCTATGTATTGTAGGAAAATCTGAATAAGCTAATGACCAATCTAAGAAGCACTCATCCACACTTTGTACGTTGTATCATCCCCAATGAAACTAAGACTCCAGGTATTAATTTTCAAATAATGTATGGGCACTTTCTTTTAAATTCATTCACAGGATGTGGGCATCACTGGTTAGGCCAGAATTTATTACCTTTGAGAAGATGGTAGTGAGCTTCCTTCTTGAACTGCTGCTAGTCTATTTCCTGTATATACCCCACAATGCTGCTAGGGAGGGAGAACTAAGATTTTGACCCGGTGGGAACCACAATATATTTCCAAGTCAGAATGGTGAGTTGCTTGGAAGGGAGCTTGTAGTTGTCATGTTCCCATGTATCTGCTGTCCTTGTCATTCTAGATACTGGTGGTTGTTGTTTTGGAAGGTAGTGTTTTGTGTGCCTGTTGAATTTCTGCAATGCATCTTATAGCTGGTACACACTACTGCTACTAAGTGTTGGAGGTGGAGAGTGTAGATGTTTTTGGATGTGGTGGCAGTTATATAGCTGCGTTATCCTAGGTAGCTCTTGAATGTTTTTGGAGTTGCACTCATCCTGGTAAGTGGGCAGTAATCCATCACATTGCTGACTTGTGCCTAGGTAGTCAGGCTCTAGGTTGTCAGGAGATAAATTACTCACTGTGAGTATTCCAACTTCTGACATGCTGTCGTAGTGACAGAATTTATATGACTGGTCCAGTTCAGATTCTGGTCAATGGTAAACGCCAGTATGTTGAAACTGGAGGATTCAGTGATAGCACTGCCATTGAATGTCAAGGAACAATACTTCAATTCTCTCTTATTGGAAATGTCAATTGCTGGCATTTGTGTGCATGTTACTTGCTGCTGTGAGCACTTAAAGGATATTGTCCAGGTCTTGCTGCATTTGGACATAGGCTGTTTCAGTGTCTGAGGAGTCGTGAATGGTGCTGAGCATTGTGCAAATCATCAGCGAATATCCTCACTTCTGATCTTATGATGGAGGGAAGGTCATTGAGGAAGTAGGTGAAAGTGGTTGGACCTAGGACACTTCCATGAAGAACTCCTGCAGTGATGCCCTGGAACTGAGAAAACTGACCACCAACATCAATTCCTGTTGCTTCTAGTTTTGCTAGGGCTCTTTGATACTGCATTCTGACAAATGTAGCCTTGATGTCAAGGGCAGTCTCTCTCACCTCACCTTTGGGATTCAGCTCTTTTGTCCATGTTTCAACCAAAGCTGTAATGAGGTCAAGAGCTGAGTGGCTCTTGCAGCACCCAAACTGGGTGTCACTGAACAGTTTGTTGCTAATGTAGGTGCTACTCGATAGCACTGTTGTTGACTCCTTCAAGCACCTTACTGATGATCAAGTCAAGACTGGTAGGGTGCCAATTGGCTGGGTTGGATTTGTCCTGTTTTTTCTGCACATGACATACGTGGGCAATTTTCACATTGTCAGGAGATGCAGATCAGAAGTACAGCTTGGCCAGGGTTCTGGATCACAGTTCTTCAGTACTTTCGAGGGATCGTTATTGAGGCCCATAACACTTGCAGCTTTCAGTGCCTCAAGTTGTTTTTTAATATTGCGTGGACTGAATTCAGTTGGCTGAAAGCTGGCAACTGGGATGATGGAAATCTTAGGAGGAGACCGAGATGGATTATCTACTCAGCACTTCTGGCTGAAGATTGTTGCAAATGTTTCAGCCATATCTTTTGCACTGATGTGCTGGGCTCTTCCATCATTGAGGATGGGGATATTTGTGGACCCTCTTTGTTCAATGAGTTGTTTAATTATCCAATAAAACTGGATGCAGAACTTAGATCGGATCGTTCATTGTAAAATGTCATAGTTCTGTACAACACTTGCGGCTTCTGTTGTTTGGCACACAAGTAATTCTGTGTTGTAACTTCAACAGCTTGGCACCTCATTTTTAAGTATGCCTGGTGCTATTCCTGGCAAGCCCTTTTGGAGTCTTCATTGTCCAGGGTTGATTCCCCCAGTTTATTGGTTATGGTAAAATGTGGGATATGTCGAGCCATGAGGATTAAGATTGTGTTTAGTATAATTCTGCCAGTGCTGATGACGGAAAACACCTGATGGATGCCCAGTTTTGAGATGTTTAGTTTGTTTGATGTTCATTCCATTTAGCGTAGTGATAGCGCCACGCAACATGATGCAAGGTACCCTCAATGTGAAGGTAAGACTTTGTCTCCACAAGTACTGTAAGATGACCACTTTTACTGATATTTTCATGAACAGCTTGTTCATTCCCTCATCACCTGCCACAGACCAGTCTAGCAGCAATAGCCTTTAGGACTCAACTAGCTCAGTCAGTAGCAGTGTTGTCGAGCCACTTTTGGTAATGGACATTAAAGTACAATACCTAGACATCATTATATGCCATTGCCACCCTCAGTGCTTCCTCCAAGTGGAATTTAATATGGAATACTGATTCATCACCTTAGGCTGTCGGGGTTGGGAGGGATGGTCGAGGTTAATGTGGTAATCAGCAGTTCTCCTTGTCTATATTTGACCCAACACCAATGTCAGGGTCCAGGGTCACTTAATATGCATTTTTTTTTCTCACAGATCTGTAGTCATTCAACTAATACTATGTTCACTGTTTAGGTGTGATAGAGAATCAATTGGTCATTCATCAGTTGAGATGCAATGGTGTGTTGGAAGGCATTAGGATTTGCAGAAAGGGATTTCCAAGCAGAATCCTTTATGCTGACTTTAAACAAAGGTAACAATTTAACTTTACAGAGTGAAATAGAAATGAATTGTATTGATGTATGGCAGGGCTTCCCAAACTGTGGACCACATGGGGTCAGAAGCCAAATATTTGGGTTTATGAGCCCTTATGTAGTAATGTTTGTTGTGGCACTCCAACCTCTTGTGAACACCTCCAAGGCCCCTTTAAATTTTGCATTTTTTTGTAAACAGTGAATGTGGCCTAATCCAATACACCTGAATGCTATTGTTAAAACAAACCTAACTGGAAGTTATGTATTCTCCAAATAAAAGCCCAGTGTGTTTTACAGCTCTTCACAGCTCTCATGGATCTTTTCCTCACTCCCCCCAAACCTCCATCCCCTCTACAGGCATCTCCTCTCTTTCCATGGTTATCTCCTGCCCCTCAAGCATCTTATGCTTACCCCATACCCAGGCATCTCGCTGCCCACCTCCCAAACAAGCATCTCTTCTCCTCACCACAGACATTCTGCTCCCTCATAATCCCTCATCACAGGCATCCGTCCCATATCACAGGCATTCCTTCCCCCCAAAACACATTTCACCACTCCCCCACTTCATTGGCACAAACATTTTCTTTCCCTCCTCTCATAAGCATCTTCTCCTTCGCACACTCCACCACACTCCCAGAGGTCTGGGAACCCAATAACTTACAGCCACCAAAATGGGGTCACGATGGGAAATAGTTTGGGAAGTGCTGATATTGTGAATTTCATGGCCGTGGGTTATTGCAAAGCATTTTGTAGCCATTCATACAGGCACTCATTTTTCAAATACGTGACAGCCAATTCACAAGCAGCAATATCCCACAAGAGTATTGGGTTTCTTGGCCAGGTAATCAAGCTTTGCTGATGCTAGTTAAGGCATAAATATTGGCATGCAAAGTCCACCTGCCCTTGTTCAAGCAGTGCTGTGGAATCTTTTCACTCCATCTTAGAAGGCAGAATCTGATCCAAAACATGCAACACTTCATCACTGGTACATTAAGGAATCATTCTGGATAAGGTGCTCCACTCTGTGAAGTGGATCCAGAAACTATATTCTTCTGACTTGGATATTAAAATGTTGCCACAGATGCCCTTAGTGGTAGGGGTGGTAATTGTGATTTTGATCTATATAAGGTCTGATCTTGATGATATGCTAGATGAATAAAATAGGCGCTATGTAAAAGTAAACAACATATTCTTTGGAAAATACAGATACAAACTCTTAAATGCAAGTGCCATACCGGAAGGACAATTTATTGACAGCAAGAAGGCTTCTGAGAAGCTGCTAAGCTCCATTGATGTTGATCATAACCAGTATCGGTTCGGCCATACTAAGGTAAATGTTCAGGTCTAAAGGCCCATATGATAAAATCAAAAACAGTGAACCACTGGGTAACTCTTAAAGCTATATTATTCATCTTATTAAAGGTATTTTTCAAGGCTGGTCTCCTGGGTATTCTAGAAGAAATGAGAGATGACAAATTGGCCCAAATCATCACACGCACACAAGCCATTTGCCGTGGTTTTCTAATGAGAGTTGAATTTCGGAAGATGGTGGAGAGAAGGTATTTGGTAAAGCTAATTATTTCAGTAATGTAGATGAAGCAATGCAAATTTTAGTAACAGTTCTGTTTAATGCCGTTCTACAGGGATGCCATCTTCACTATCCAGTACAACATCCGTGCATTCATGAACGTCAAGCATTGGCCGTGGATGAAACTGTTCTTCAAGATCAAGCCTCTTCTGAGGAGTGCAGAAACTGAAAAGGAAATGGCAAACATGAAAGTGGAATTTGAGAAGACTAAAGAAGCACTCGCTAAATCAGAAGCGAGAAGGAAGGAATTGGAAGAAAAAATGGTTAGCCTGCTTCAAGAAAAAAATGATTTACTGCTTCAAGTTCAGTCAGTAAGTAACCCAAATAAGTAACTTAAATGTTTTCAGTTCTTTTATTATCTGACTTTAGAATTATGGCATTTGCCCATTTCTGGAGACAGTGTGTGTTCCCAACCCATGGCACTATTTAAGGTGGCCGCCAGGAGATGTTCGATCATCATGAGTTGCCAGTTTGTCCTTGTGCATGAATGATAATATTGCAGCTGGGGTCAGTTCAGTCGTTAAGAATAGTTCTACATATTTCCCCTGGTTTTGTATTGCAGTCCTCTTTCTGGTTCCTAACTCAGCATGGGCTCTGAACTTTGAAGCCCCTGGACTGCTTAACAACGTGTTCACTGACTGGGGTCATGACTGGACCTAATCATGGGACAACTTTTTTTTTTTACTATTTGACAGATCTGTCAATTTCTCGATTAATAAGCATCATACATTCCAGACTGGAATTGAAACACAGTCAGCTCACCAAGAAAAGGTTGCCTGGTTGGCAGCTCTATCTCACATTTAATGAAAAGCTCTAATTCTGTGCATATGTATGAAATCCTCTACTTAGTAGTAATGTGGCCTTAAATGAAGCCTGCTAGAATAAGGCGCTTTGGATGGAATTGTATGAAATGCAGTTCTTTCTCAATTTCTGTTATCTTGGGTAGTGAGCATTTAAAACCATAAGACCATAAAACATAGGAACAGGAGTAAGCCATTCACCTCCTCAAGCCTGTTCGACCATTCAATAGGATCATGGTTGATCCAACATTGCTCATGTCAACTTTCTTTTGTTTTCCCCATAACACTTAATTCCCCAACTGCTCAAGAATCTATCCATCACAGCCTTAAATATACACATGTACTCTACCCCACAGCTCTCTGTGGCAAGGAGTGAATAAGTTGCTCAGATTTAAAAAAAATTTCTTCCCAAAAAGGAAGCAGAGGGCCTGGCAGATGCAGAAGAAAGGTGTGACCAGCTCATCAAAAGCAAAATTAATTTAGAAGCCAAGGTCAAGGAACTCAATGAAAGACTGGAGGATGAAGAGGAATGTAATGCAGAGTTGACATCCAAGAAGAGAAAACTAGAAGATGAATGCTCTGAGTTAAAGAAGGATATTGATGACCTGGAACTCACACTAGCCAAAGTTGAAAAGGAAAAGCATGCCACCGAAAACAAGGTATTTATTTGCATCTGGAATAAAATTATTAATTTATGTAGTTTGCACATTTCACTAACTAAAAACTGGCATTTACTCAAAAGGTTAAGAATCTTACAGAAGAAATGGCTTCCCTCGATGAAAGCATTATCAAATTAACAAAGGAGAAGAAAGCCCTCCAAGAAGCTCATCAGCAAACTCTTGACGATCTCCAGGCTGAGGAGGACAAAGTTAACACCTTAACCAAAACCAAAGCTAAATTGGAACAACAAGTAGATGATGTTAGTATTAGTAAATGAATATTATGAACTTCTAATATTTCCATTGATAGTTTTGAAGATTCTGAAGATTTTTGTTGTTTATTACAGCTTGAAGGTTCTCTAGAACAAGAGAAAAAGCTTCGCATGGACCTTGAGAGGATAAAGAGGAAGCTTGAAGGGGATTTGAAGCTGGTTCAGGAATCAGTAATGGACTTAGAAAATGACAAACAGCAATTGGAAGAGAAAGTGAAGAAGTAAGAAATGGTTACAGAGATAGTAGGAACTGCCGATGCTGGAGAATCTGAGATAACACGGTGTAGAGCTGGATGAACAC